TATATATATATATATATTTAGCCTGAAAAACATTTCACGAATAAGGATAAAATAAGTGTCAATCATGTTTTAGGGTTATAAAAGAGAGATTTTTTTTCTGCCGTTTGGCTACTTGAGCTTGAAACTAGGGCTGTGCAATAAAACTATATCAATATATGTTATTACGTCATCAATATCAATAGAAAATGATATATATCGTGATAGACATATCATCAATAAATATATGTACAATTAAAAGTTAATAATTTCACTGATCTCTGATTCAGAACCACATGGCATTCTGGGGGATCTAGGCTGAGAAATCATAAAAGAGGAAATTTCACATCACCAGTTTGGCAGTTTTAACTGTTCTTTTTTTCTCCTGCTCCTTATTTCAAATAAGTAAAACAAAACAAAACAAAAAAACTAATCAATAATTATTGATACTGATTGATGTGAAACACTAATATTGATACATTTTCCCACCATATCTCACAGCCCTACTTGAAACAGATTCTGTTGTTCTAGTAGATATTTTGAGACGTTATCTTTTAGCTTTATTTGATAGTTCCAGGTCATTATGACCTCAGTCTTCTTACTCGTTTACACATTTGTTTTAGCGAGTCCAAGAAGGAAAAAGTTGACCCTGAACAGCATATAAAAGCAAGCCCTCTTGCTGCTCTCCAAATGACTTCTGCATGAATCATTTCAGATGGCTGCTTTGTAGAAAAACCTAATACTTATTTTTAAGGTTAAAAGCTCTAAGCAGTGTGAAGAAATCAATGTGTAGCTCTGATAATCAAATCCACGTCTTTAAACTTGGATTAGCTGTGGACCTTTCACAGCTCGTTTTGAACTTTTTGTTCTCCACCCACTAGTTGTGGATCTTTTGAAACGTAAGAATTGCTGTCTTTTCTATATTATTCCTATGAAAAGCTTTTTCTTTGGTCTGTAGTTCCTGTTTCATGTTGCTCTGTTGCTTTGATAAACAAAAGTTCAAGAAATTCCAATAAACTTACAAACTTATCACATTGATCCTTTTTTTTTTTTGTCAGAACTAAGAGTCTCGATGAGGCACCACCAGCTGGAGGAGCTCATGTGTTGGCACTTGGTGTACACAACACCCAGTAAGAGGCATGTTTGCTCTCAGCCTGTTAGCACTYATCTACCTCTTGTTGTCTCCTTTTTTGTTTTCTGCAGATGTGACTCAGAAAACCGTTACCTTGGCAATCCACTCAGAGGAACCTGTTACTGTGAGTAATTATCAAGCGGACAGCTACACTCTAAGGAGACAGCTCATATGTTCTCACACATACACATGCACACATTAGGGGCTATTTCTCTCGCTGCTTGTCTTTCATCCTTTTTTACTTTGCCACTTGCACCACTTGCACTCTTCCGCTCGGGGCAGATGGTGCATCTTAGCACCTTGGCACCAGGGGCGCTTGTTCAGTGACAGGATGACTTGTCGCGAAAATGTCAAGTGCGTCAGAGTGAGTGAGTGATTGAGCTAATCAAGGAGACAGTGGAGTCAAATTTTTCCACTTGTCTGCTCACTTAATCACGCACCTATTCATTAATTCATTCCGAAAGTTGACTAAATGATAAAGTGACTCGTAAAGCAAAAGGAAAACCTGTCAAAGTGCTTACATAAAGCTATCACTTGGTGCCAAGCGGTGGCCCAAGTCTGCTTCTGTATCTGCGTGTACTGTAGATGGTGGTGTTTGGTATGTCTCTGTTTACTTGCACGATGAAGTGTCCTTCACGCTGCCACAGTTGGACTTGGTGATTTGTTATCTGCCTTTCAGCACTTTTCTACTGACATYAGAGCCTTTGCCAAGGTTTTGTTCCTTTTTAAAATGTCATAGCCTGACAACAGGCTCGCCGAGGATGAGAAGACAAGAAACTAAAAAGCCCAAAGCTTGTTTTAACCTCTGGACACCACTGGAACTCCTTGAGCTTTGTTACGCAGCATTGCAAACATGACACCCCCTGCAAACAAAAAAGGCCACTAAGCACAGATGCACAGATTGCACAAACGTATTCAGCTTGCTCATACTTTGTATTAGCAAAATTTCCTGTCATTAAATTATGTTTTTGTTTGTATTTCTGTTTTCCGTTCAGTGACTTTTACAAATAATACCATCAATCTTTAAAAAGTTTCTAGCAGTAGTCGCACACTACAATTTTCTGTGCGTGTACAAAATGACATACTGCCAGTCGGATCACAGGAGAAAATTACTTTTATTTCACTTTCACAGAAATGTATACAAACAAGTCTGCGAATGTAATCGCATTTTCTTGTCAAAATGCCACCTACTGTCTCACACAGAAAACAAACATTCGTGATACAAATTTGTTGCAAACCTGCATGTTGTGTAGATTATTGCTTTGTACACAACAACTCATACATGTAAATAACACTGGTTAACTATACATGGAATATGCCAAAATGCACAAGTAGTGAGTACTTCTCTAATGACTGCAGCATAAAAGGTTGTTTAATAGCGAGTAAATTACTGATATTGTTTATACCGACATATTATCTTTAGATAATATCGCAGTATAGGGATGTACCGATTGCAGTTTTCTGGCCGTTGTACATCTTCAGTGTTCCAATCTTGTTTTTTTGAAAAACATTGAACAACACCCTTGAAACAATACAAACTTGCAACTGGACACACTGGGCACTAGGTAGTGCTCACAGCAGAGCAAAAGGGGACAACGGCTGATTTTTAGACCTTAGTAGAGGTAGAGGAGAATCCAGTGTTTTCCACTGATCTTATCCAAGTTCCGGCAAATCTCTCATCTCTGAAAATTCGGAAAATCGGAGCACCCCTAGTATTACTGGGGTGGCGTGGAAAGGGGCGGGTCATGGGGATGTGTTACCTTCTCCTGMTCTTGCTGTCTTTCCATCGCCACTGAACTTCATTCAGCTTGCGCGTCTTTATATTTTCTTCTTCCTTTCGATTTTTTGGCACTTGTCAAATAACTTTGGGCCTTGGTCAGAATACTTTTTTAGCTCGAGGAGGATGAGACTGAGAGCAGATTGAGCTGTTTTTTTCCGTGAAACTATAGTGTTTCCTTCTGCCTGTCATTGCAACGCGCATCAAAAACAATGGTCTTGTTCAGAAAAAAAAGTGGCGTATGCTGTTTATCATAACTCCGGCTTTATTTGGCCTATAAACACAATAAAAAAACTGATGTATAGTTTAGTTTCTACTTTTGACACAACTTGAAAAAGAGTCTCAAAGAAGTCTTATCTTTCTGTCTAGATCAATTTGAATAGGTCATTTAAATAGGCTGCTGAAGATTAATATACCATCGTTTTTTAGATGCCATCACCATCTTTCAATGCCGAAGAATACCACAATAATGTCATACTGCCAAAGCCTACTACTATGAACTGCATTGCCTTTTAACGCTCAACTATTACAATGTATGGGCTTTTCTAAACCATTAAGAGTTCACAAAGCCATATATTGCAGCTGAGATAGATTTTTTTTGTGTGTGTGTTTTAGATAATCTCCTGATCGACTACCAGTTCACATTCAGCCTCATTCAAGAAGATGATAATCACTACACTGCCATTAACTTCATGGCCTCACCTGAGCAGGTAACTTCTTAAATAGAAGGAATATATTATGACTGTTGTTTTCTTTTGTAGAGCAGAAACACACCATCCAGTCCTGTTTAACAATAATAATAATCATTGAGTTGTGCTTAAATCTTTTTAAAAATATCCTTTATTTCTTACATATTGATGTCCTTTAAAGCATTTTTGGGTGAACTTTTGTTGTACAGGTTTTCTGAATTAACTTTTTTTTAAAGGCAAACAAGAACTTGGACATGTCCATCAATGCATCAAACAACTTCAACCTCAACATCACATGGTCGGTGGGGTCAACAGGTAGAGTTTCAGTTCTTTTGTTATAGAAGAGCCTTGTTGCAAAAATTATTCATATTGATCAGAATTAAACTTCTCAATATCACCACTCCAATAAAAATGTTTTGTGGTAATTTGAGTTTACAGATTAACTGTAATAATATGTTGAATATGGATCCACAAAATATCTAAACTTTATTGTTTAGATATTTGGTCAATGTGTGATCTTTCTGTTTAATATATTGATCATAAAGTCTGTTGTGATAAACTCTACTTTACTTCTCACATTCTTTTCTGTTACCACTAATATGTAAACCAGGTGTGGACAAGAAGGTCCATTGGATTGATCAAAATATATTAACATTCTGAACATAAATGATGGTATTTGAGATATAACAGCTTATCTATTTCAGTCCTTTGCCATGTTAATATTGTCCTCACTGATGTTGTGACGACAATAGATTTTCTAAATTTTGTGCAGCTCTATTGTGCACTATCTCAGCATCACAAAGGATTCCGATCTTTCATGCATAATATACACTGTCTGGCCAAAAAAAGTTGCCACCAAAAAAGGTCACACACTAATATTTTGTTGGTCCACCTTGGGCTTTGATTATGGCACACATTTGCTGTGGCATTGTTTCAGTAAACTTCTGCAACGTCAAGATTTATTTCCATCCAGTGTTGCATTTATTTTTCACCAAGATCTTGCATTGATGATGGTAGCATCTGACCGCTGCACAAATCACATGCCAAAGACTCTCAATGGGGTTAAAGTCTGGACTCTATGGAGCCAATCCATGTGTGAAAATGATGTCTCATGCTCCCTGAGCCACTCTTTCACAGTTCTAGCCCTATGAATCCTGGCATTGTCATTTTGGAAGATGCCCGTGCCGTCAGGGAAGAAAAAATCCATTTATAAAATAAACTGGTCATTCAGTATAGTCAACTGACCTCATTATTGAGCAAATACTGTTGTGGAACCTAGACTTGACCAACTTATTTGCTTAGTTAAATCCAGATGGCCACTTTTTTTTTTTTGAGCAGGCAGTGTATTTGGTCAGTCTTATCGACCTCATTCACTCCTGGTGCTAAGGTTTGGATTTAAATAGATGCTCACTGCTCTTGATGTCCACCTTGGTTTAGATGATAGTGGTTGAGCTGCTAAAATACAGAATGTTGTGCGAAATGTTAATATGTCACTTTCTACACCAAAGGAAATGATTAACTTCCAGAAAAGGTTTGAAATTTTGGCAAAAGGGAGGACACCAACATTACTACTCCTCTCTTGTTAGTGTTCGTGGTGTCACTATTGAATACATGCTACAGGTCTCCTGAGGAGAGACACCCAAGGACACTGCAGTCCAGTGCCACTGTTTATCTTTTGTCCTCCCTTCCTCACAAGTCATCTGTCCCTCTCTCCCTTCGCCACAACACTGACATTTTCTGGCTACTAAAACACGTTAACCTCACGCGCTCCTCCTCGCCACCTTAACCTTTTCAGAGCACCGTCATTAATATTTGAAGTTGGGTCCCCTTTCTCCTGCGAAGATATTGTGTCTCAGAAGGAATAGGAGCCCTCTTCACAATTGACAAGTGCGCGAGGCGCCTTTAAGTGGGGGGGAGGCGGGGTGTGATTTCAATTAAGATAAACATGCTCACGTAGCCACATTCAAGCTGTCATTTTCACTGCTTTTGTTTCAGAGCTGTGGGTTGGAATATCAATGCTGCGAAACCACTGACATGAAGAAGAATGAGAAATGACTTGGAACATTCGAACAGATGGGAAATTGACAATTTTTATAGAGTGTTAGTAAAAAAAAAAAAAAAAACCAACAATATTACTTTTGGGTATTATTACTGGTATTATTATGGGTATTAAGAATTTAAGCCATTGTCACAATCAGCTGGATAAAATAACATTGAAATACAGAAAATAAACAGACCCGAACAAGTAACTCTAGTTTATAGTAAGCTGGTTTTTGATATCTGCCTTGTGTAAACACTTCAAATTCTTGAGATCAAACATACTAAAATGGTGCGAATTTGTGTGATTTCCAACATTTTTGTTGTTGTTTTTTTTTCAAGCTGAGCTTTTCTCTTGAAACCAAATAAAAAAGGTGTGTGTGTTTCCACAATAATGCTTCACACTATGTAATACTTTTTTTTGTCATTGGAAAATAAGTTAAATGCAGTTGGGAAATAATGATGATTGCCCTTGAGTGGTTCCCTGTTGTTCAAAATGGCTAAATAAATCCATTAATGCATTCATAATAACATGTTGCAGCCAAAGCAGCTCCCCAGCTCTGTGTGTAAGCTGTTTGAAAGCTAAATGACATTGTGCTGAAAATGAACTCTTTCTCCCAACAGCTGGAACAATCTCTGGAGAGGAGGTGCCCATTGTGTCCAAAACGAACATCAAGGATTACAGAGACAGTTTCTCCTGCGAAAAGTTCACCTTTCGAAGCAACCCTAACATTACCTTTTATGTGTACGTTAGTAATTTCTCCTGGCCAATCAAGATCCAGGTAAGGACTGTGTCTGTGACTCATTCAAAAGCATTATTTACAAAGATACACTATATTGCCAAAAGTATTTGCTCACCCGTCCGAATGACTGCACCAGTGCACAAAGCAAGGTCCATAAAACATGGATGGCAGAGTGTGGTGTGGATGAACTTGACTGGCCTGCACAGAGTCCTGACCTCAACCTGATAGACCTGAGCCTGAATTAGAGTGGAGACTGAGAGCCAGGCCTTCTTTCCAACATCAGCATGAGAACCCACAAATGAGCTTCTGGAAGAATGGTCAAAAATCCCCATAGACACCCCTAAACCTTGTGGACAGCCTTCCCAGAAGAGCTGAAGCTGTTCAAGCTGCAAAGGATGGACCAACGTCATATTGAACCCTATGGATTAGGAATGATGTCACTTAAGCTCATATGTGAGTCAAGAGAGGTGAGCAAATACTTTTGGCAATTTAGTGTATCTAAGAGTTTTACTCTCTTTGAATAAACGTGACTGAGGATTTAATTAGTAGATCAGTAGAAAAATGAACACCAGAGAAATATTTGTTTTTAGTGGTGTCAGGTTTCCAGAAAAAACAAAAGTTTCTGACAATGTGAAGCAAACAAAACACTGTATTTAATGTGGAACTATCAAACCTTCAAGGATTAACAGCAAAACTGAGTTATAATTAAATGTTTCCACTCTGTTGCATAGCAC